GATGCTGTCCAAGCTACTGATGCACCAACTGATGCAGTCCAAACTACTGATGGACTAATAACTGATGCAGTCCAAACTACTGATGCACCAACTGATGCTGTCCAAGCTACTGATGCACCAACTGATGCAGTCCAAACTACTGATGGACTAATAACTGATGCAGTCCAAACTACTGATGCACCAACTGATGCTGTCCAAGCTACTGATGCACCAACTGATGCAGTCCAAACTACTGATGGACTAATAACTGATGCAGTCCAAACTACTGATGCACCAACTGATGCTGTCCAAGCTACTGATGCACCAACTGATGCAGTCCAAACTACTGATGGACTAATAACTGATGCAGTCCAAACTACTGATGCACCAACTGATGCTGTCCAAGCTACTGATGCACCAACTGATGCAGTCCAAACTACTGATGGACTAATAACTGATGCAGTCCAAACTACTGATGCACCAACTGATGCTGTCCAAGCTACTGATGCACCAACTGATGCAGTCCAAACTACTGATGGACTAATAACTGATGCAGTCCAAACTACTGATGCACCAACTGATGCTGTCCAAGCTACTGATGCACCAACTGATGCAGTCCAAACTACTGATGGACTAATAACTGATGCAGTCCAAACTACTGATGCACCAACTGATGCAGTCCAAACTACAGATGCATCAACTGATACAGTTCAAACTACAGATGCACCAACTGAAGCAGTCCAAACAACTAATGTACCAACTGATGCAGTCCAGACTACTGATGTAGTCCAAACCACTGATGTACCTACTGATGCTCCAACGGATGCTGTCCAAACTACTGATGTACCAACCGATGCTGCCCAAACTACTAATGTTCCAACTGATGCTGTCCAAACTACAGATGTACTAACTGATGCAATCCTGAGTACTGGTGTACCTACTGATGTGCCAACTGATGTTGTCGAAACTACCGATGCACCAACTGATGCCATCCAAACTACAAATGTACCAACTGATGCAGTCCAAACTACTGATGGACTAATAACTGATGCAGTCCAAACTACTGATGCACCAACTGATGCAGTCCAAATTACAGATGCACCAACAGATGCAGTCCAACAAACTACTGATGCACCAACTGATGCAGTCCAAACTACAGATGCACAAACTGATGCAGTTCAACAAACTACTGATGCACCAACTGATGCAGTCCAAACTACTGATGCACCAAGTGATGCAGCCCAACAAACTACTGATGCACCAACTGATGCTGTCCAATCTACTGATGCACCAACAGATGCTGTCCAAACTACTGATGTACCAACTGATGCAGTCCAAACTTCAGATGCACCAACTGATACAGTCCAAACTACTGATGTACCAACTGATGCAGTCCAAACTACTGATGCACCAACTGATGCTGTCCAAACTACTGATGCACCAACTGATGCAGTCCAAACTTCAGATGCACCAACTGATACAGTCCAAACTACTGATGTACCAACTGATGCAGTCCAAACTACTGATGCACCAACTGATGCAGTCCAAACTACAGATGCACTAACTGATGCAGTCCAACAAACTACTGATGCACGAACTGATGCAGTCCAAACTACTGATGCACCAACTGATGCAGTCCAACAAACTACTGATACACCAACTGATGCTGTCCAAACTACTGATGCACCAAGTGATGCAGTCCAACAAACTACTGATGCACCAACTGATGCTGTCCAAACTACTGATGCACCAACAGATGCACCAACAGATGCTGTCCAAACTACTGATGCACCAACTGATGCAGTCCAAACTTCAGATGCACCAACTGATACAGTCCAAACTACTGATGTACCAACTGATGCAGTCCAAACTACTGATGCACCAACTGATGCTGTCCAAACTACTGATGCACCAACTGATGCAGTCCAAACTTCAGATGCACCAACTGACACAGTCCAAACTACTGATGTACCAACTGATGCAGTCCAAACTACTGATGCACCAACTGATGCAGTCCAAACTACAGATGCACTAACTGATGCAGTCCAAACTACTGATGCACCAACTGATGCTGTCCAAACTACTGATGCACCAACTGATGCAGTCCAAACTTCAGATGCACCAACTGATACAGTCCAAACTACTGATGTACCAACTGATGCAGTCCGAACTGCAGATGTACCAACTGATGCAGTCCAAACTACAGATGTACCAACTGATGCAGTCCAAACCACTGATGCACCAACTGGTGCGATCCAGACTACTGGTGCACGAACAGATGCAGTCCAACAAACTACTGATGCACCAACTAATGCTGTCCAAACTACAGATGCAACAACTGATGCAGTCCAAACTACTGATGTACCAACTGATGCAGTCCAAACTACTGATGCACCAACTGATGCAGTCCAAACTACTGATGCACGAACTGGTGCGATCCAAACTACTGATGCACGAACTGATGGAGTCCAACAAACTACTGATGTACCAACTAATGCTGTCCAAACTACAGATGCAACAACTGATGCAGTCCAAACTACTGATGTACCAACTGATGCAGTCCAAACCACTGATGCACCAACTGGTGCGATCCAGACTACTGGTGCACGAACAGATGCAGTCCAACAAACTACTGATGCACCAACTAATGCTGTCCAAACTACAGATGCAACAACTGATGCAGTCCAAACTACTGATGTACCAACTGATGCAGTCCAAACTACTGATGCACCAACTGATGCAGTCCAAACTACAGATGCACGAACTGGTGCGATCCAAACTACTGATGCACGAACTGATGGAGTCCAACAAACTACTGATGTACCAACTAATGCTGTCCAAACTACAGATGCAACAACTGATGCAGTCCAAACTACTGATGTACCAACTGATGCAGTCCGAACTGCAGATGTACCAACTGATGCAGTCCAAACTACAGATGCACCAACTGATGCAGTCCAAACCACTGATGCACCAACTGGTGCGATCCAGACTACTGATGCACGAACAGATGCAGTCCAACAAACTACTGATGCACCAACTAATGCTGTTCAAACTACAGATGCAACAACTGATGCAGTCCAAACTACTGATGTACCAACTGATGCAGTCCAAACTACTGATGCACCAACTGATGCAGTCCAAACTACTGATGCACGAACTGGTGCGATCCAAACTACTGATGCACGAACTGATGGAGTCCAACAAACTACTGATGTACCAACTAATGCTGTCCAAACTACAGATGCAACAACTGATGCAGTCCAAACTACTGATGTACCAACTGATGCAGCCCAAACTTCTGATGCACCAACTGATGCAGTCCAAACTACTGATGTACCAACTGATGCTGTCCAAACTACTGATGCACCAACTGATGCTGTCCAAACTACTGATGTACCTACTGATGTAGTCCAAACTACAGATGCACTAACTGATGCAGTCCAACAAACTACTGATGCACGAACTGATGCAGTCCAAACTACTGATGTACCAACTAATGCAGTCCAAACTACTGATACACCAACTGATGCTGTCCAAACTACAGATGCACCAACTGATGCAGTCCAAACTACTGATATACCAACGGATGCAGTCCAAACTACTGATACACCAACTGGTGCTGTCCAAACTACAGATGCACCAACTGATGCAGTCAAAACTACTGATGCACCAACCGATGCAGCCCAAACTACTGATGCACCAACTGGTGCGATCCAAACTACTGATGCACAAACTGATGCAGTCCAACAAACTACTGATGCACCAACTGATGCAGTCCAAGCTACTGATGCAGTCAAAACTTCTGATGGACCAGCTGATGCAGTCCAAACTACAGATGCACCAACTGATGTAGCCCAAACTACTGATGCAGTCAAAACTACTGATGGACCAACTGATGCAGTCCAACAAACTACAGATGCACTAACTGATACAGCCCAAACTACTGATGCAAGAACTGATGCAGTTCAAACTACTGATGCATCTAGTGATGCGGTCCAACAAACTACTGATGTAGTCAAAACTACTGATGGACCAACTGATGCAGTCCAACAAACTACAGATGCACTAACTGATGCAGTCCAAACTACTGATGCACCTACTGATGCGGTCCAACATACTACTGATGCAGTCAAAACTACTGATGCACCAACTGATACAGTGCAAACTACTGATTCACCAACTGATGCAGTCCAAACTACTGATGCAGTCCAACAAACTACTGATGCCCCAACTGTCCAAACTACTGATGTACCAACTGATGCTGTCCAAACTACTGATGCACCAACTGTTGCTGTCCAAATTACTGATGTACCAACTGTGGCAGTGCAAACTACTGATGTACCAACTGATGTTGTCCAAACTACTGATGCACTGACTGTTGCAGTCCAAACTACTGATGTACCAACTGATGCAGTGCAAACTACTGATGCACCAACTGGTGCAGCCCAAACTACTGATGCACCAACTGATGCAGTGCAACAAACTACTGATGCACCAACTGATGTGGTCCAAACTAGTGATGCACCAACTGGTATAGTCCTGACTTCTAGTGCACCAACTGATGCAGTTGAAAGTACTGATCAACCAACCACGGTGGTAATAACTGAGAAACCTACCAAACATGTTACCGGCTCGACTGAAGCACAAGAATTATCAACCACCTTGCCAGCGTCAACCGACTCTCTGGTAATTACTCCCACGGTGCAACCTACTAAAGATATTGTTGGAACAGGTATGTTGTAAAATTTTATTATCGATAGTTTTAGTATAGATTATAGATTGGTTAATAGGATTGTCAGGTATACAGTAACAGTTCATTTGTTCAGTATTATATTTTATTATATTCATTTTGAAATCAATGGTGTTTCCTGCAATCTGATTGGTTCACAGGAGTGCAATTTCAGCACGAATCGCGCTCCAAGCAAATTTAAAGCATCAGGTCAGACTCAGGGAAAACAAAGGTAAATTCGCCTATCGTATTTGGAAAATTTTAAACGCACAAAACTGCACCAAACTCTTTCAAATCACTCGTTAAACCTACAATATGTTTAAACTTATTTGTGTTGTCTCTTATTCTTTATAAATGTCTTCATTTCTTTAACATTTTTGCAGTTCAATTAACAAAAGTTTTACAAAACTGCTATGCTACAGTATACAGGGAGGTACCGGAGGTGTGTCTTTTGCAAACAAAAACGTTTCCGGTTTACAAAAATATTTAAATATTTCAAAATGAATATAATAAAGTGGAAATTGAACTTCGTGTCGTGCAATTTTGGACTGAAATCAAACTTGTGATTACAAATCGCACTCCCGCTTCACGGTCGTGCGATTTTGTAATCACGCGTTTGATTTCAGTCCAACTTGCATTCCACTCGGTTCAATTCGTTCTCATCATGTAGGAATAAAGGTGCACAGCAACGGACGTTATATATTCCTGGAGAAAATTTATTGTGATTTTGAAATTACTACATTTTTTTCCGTCTGCAGAATCTGAGAATTATTTTTTGTTGATTACCATTCATGGTGCAATCTCGGTTTTTTCGATGTTATTTCAGAACTGTTTATGATCTGGCAGCAATGTTTCCAGCTCAAGCACTGCACTTGTCGTTCTTTTAAAGCGTTTGGTTCTGCTTTGGTCGCGGTGCAGATAATGGGAAATCGTTGGTTTGATATGTTGTTGATTTTCATCGTTTTATTTCTTTCAAAATAGATAATAAATACGGACCATGTGAAGAGCGATCAAAAGTTCAGTTCAAAGATCGTTTTCTGGAATGGCTGGCTATTACTCAGGCAGAAGAACAGGCGTTTGAAGGTTTTGACGCTGTGGCTTTCACGAAAAACCTTCGCCTTAATCGCTTAGGAGATTCGGAAATATCGGAAATTCAAACGGTATGTGTGTTTTGTTTGGCGTAGTGCATGTTACAGGAGCAGTTGGTTTGAGTATGCCGTAGTAAAATGGCACTAGTGAGTTGAGTATGCCGTGTTATCTGGTATATATATATATATATATATATATATATATATATATATATATATATATATATATATATATATATATATATATATATATATATATATATATATATATATATATATATACATATATATATACCGTGTGTCCCAAAAAAAAGTACTCCGGTTTGATTTATAATAACTTCTAAACAAGTAAAGCTATCAAACAGAAATGACTTGCATTAAATAGAGAAAGGACTAACTTAGATTTTGATATATTACAAGTTGTATTTTACTTAAAAATTCACGGAGATATTAATGTTCAAAATCGGGTGCATGTTTTGGGATGTATCTAAATTAGCGAAAATCGGCATGTCAAATATTAACTCCAGCGTTTGTTTGCTTAATGACATATCAGGCTAACTTGTATTTCAGCGAATTGTCGTTAGGGTTTGTAAGGGATATGGTGTAGATTTAGACATCTTACATGCATGTAAGTCTTAGCTCATTGTTTCCTGAAATATGAACGTTCGAAATTATGCAAGTATAGGTCTTTACAATCTTAAAGGTATATGAAAGACCATGCAAGGCAGGCGCTTAAATTTTTCTTAAATATAATAGCCTAATTTTTTTATGTTTTTCATGGGTTCAAAACAGAGTTGATTATTTCTCGGTTAGAGCAGGATGAATATTATTCTTTAATGAAGGAAATAATATTGCTTTTTGCAAATACACATGACAGTGATCAACGCTACTATTTTGTTACGTTTTGTTCCAAAAATGTTAGATGTCTCTGGGGAGTTGCTTGTTTTGTCTTATGGAGTTGTATGGTTTGATTGTGTTTCATTCTCAGTTGATTCTGAACTTAACAAGATTAAGAAAAGGCAAACTAGAGTTTGAGTGTTCTTAACAAGATTTCAGAACGTTGCAGAAGTTAGAAGAGCTTCACAATTCCATTGTGACAGCATGCCCTAATTCAGAACTACGAACAATCCATGACGATCCTTCGCGATGCCGAGTGGTCTCATGAGATATGGAAACGTATTCGTGCTAGGAACACACGCGGATTTCGGACGAATAAACCTTGCTTGTATTTTGTAGATAATAATACTTTGTTTCATAATAAACAATTTGTCAAGTGTCATTTATTTACTGGTAATAGTGCATGTTTCAGTCGAGCAAATCTTAGTTAATATTTGATGCGCCGTTTTTTGCATATTTCAGACACATCCAGAAATATACTTCCGATTTTAAACATTAATATCTCCGTGAATTTTTAAGTGAAATACAACTGTAATATATCAAAATCTAAGTTAGTCGTTTCTCTATTTGATGCAAGTTATTTCTCTTTAAAAGCTTTACTTGTTTAGAAGTTATTACGAATCAAACCGGAGTACTTTTTTTTGGGACACCGGTAGTCCGTATAGTTATATATATATATATATAACATGTACAGTAGCTGAGATAACATGTACAGTAGCTGAGACTGGAAGAATTGGAATATCAAAAAGTATTGAACTGTTCAATCTTGCTGTGTTTCACTCATAGCCACAACAGAATTGCAAATTAAATAATTTATGTACTAACCTGTACTCAGCTATATGTTATGACTTTGGTTCAACTGCAAGTTGTTCTCAGCGTAGAGCGCGTCATTTAGATGCGCAATCGGCGGCAGTCGAAACCCCGATTTTGCCTTTACGAATATTTAATAGTTTAAATAGGTATGGTATGGTTTATATCAGGTACGGTGTGGCATAGTATACGCATGCCATGACATTGTATGATATGGGGGGGGGGGAGGTAAAAAGGTTTTCGGATCGTCGGATTTCACAGAAAAAATTGTTCGGATTTCGGATCTGGCGAATATTTTACACGGATTTGCGGATCTTATTAATACAGCGGATTGCGGATTCATCTAATATTTTGGCTCGGATTGTGGATTTAGCTTGCAATTTAGTTCGGATCCTGGATTGTGACTTCATAGTAGAGCTTTTAGCGGATCCAATTTAGACACTAATTGGTCGGATCGCGGATTTTGCTTCAAATTTAGTTGGGCGGTCGACGTATTTGTATACCCCTATTCACCCCATATGGGATTTTCAGAAATTAATATACATGCATGTAATTGCTAATCAAGCAATTATATTTTCCGAACATTAAGTATTTCGAAACGCGATATTTTTTAGCAAAATTGTTAAAAATAATAAATAAATTATCATGATGCAGTTTTAAGTGCTGTAACAGTTACATAATTTTTGTAACTTGGGTCAATAGTTACATAATTTTTGCCAATGGGGCGTCGGTGGCGCAGTTGTCAGAGTAAGCGCCTTTTGCTACTTCTGGCTCTGAAATCGTGGGTTTCATTCTCACTACGGACTGGCATGTAAAAAGAGTCTGCCAAAAGTCGTGGGTTTTCTCCTGGCGCTGCGGTTTCCTCTCTCAGGGAAAGTTGACAGGGTGGGTTAATTATGATAAACATAGTTAGGAAACTAACATCACAATTATTGTAAAGATAAATAAATAACGTGGCTAGGTAGGGAATATAAGTAAGCGTGATGCTTGGTGTAATCGGCCACTGAAAAGCCCCGATGGGATGTGAGATGAATAATGTAAAAATAGGTATAAACGCAAACGTAACGACGAGTAGTGAACGTAACTAGTTATCTTTTTCTTTTACAAATTTTCCTAATATTACAGTAGAGGGTGGGAAGGGGTATGGATCACGTTTCACAACGAAAAAAAAAGCCGTTTCACGATTCACGTGTCTTAAAAAACAATTTCTTGGAAAACTAGATTCTAATAAAATAATATAATAATAATAGGTTTATTTAGAGTATATGTTTAATGCATGGTACAGTATCTACGCTTTAAGTTCTCTCACTTCTCAACCTGTCAGTTAAAAACTGGCATCATAACTTACAAGTTTGAGTGACGAGTATGTCCGACGACCTCCGAAAGGCCTCCGAAGTTTTTACTCTTGTGCAATCGAGTGAGATCATATAAATTGATTATCGCGTATCATGTCTATTATGACTATTATGAAATAGATCGAAATAAACATAGCAAAATCTCAGTTCACGAAACAGACATCCTTAATTCTCATTTCACGGAGCATTTTTATCGACAATCACGCATCACGGCTGTAGAACAAATCACATTTCACGACACTAAAATCAAGCATTTCACATTTCACGCGAACAAATATTGACCATTCACGGCTCACGAAAAACCCCTTTCCCACCCTCACAGTACAGTTACAAGTTACCTAGCAAAAAAAAAACAACAAAAAAAACCCAAAAACGTTTCGCCTCATGTAAGGTAATCCAGGAATCCAGAATCCGACTTTTAATAAGTTTGCAATCGATCCGGAATCCAGACAGTGGAATCCAGAATCCAAAAACCGATCTGGAATTCGGAATCCAAGAAGCGAAATCCAAAGAGAGGAATCCAGACAGTGCCTTTTTTAAGGAATTTTCACTGGGGGGGCAAAAACAGGAAAAAAAAGTCAGAGCGAAAAATATGAGCCGTCGAGGTTTGGCGAACGCACGAGTCTGAAGAGAGATTTTGTAAAACTTTAATTTATTAACTTCAGCTATATTTTACTTTAAACAATAACTTCAACCCTTTGTAGCTATAATCGTACAGCTATAACCAGTGGCGTAGCGAAACCTTAATTTTGCGGGTGGGGTGGGGGGCGAACCTCACGCCGAAGGCGTGAGACCGTCTAGGAGGGTCCGAGGTTCGAAAAATTTTGAAATCTAGGTTCCCTGAATTGCGATTTCATGCATTTTGGGGGTGAAATCTAGCAGAATTCCGAAGATTATAAAGTATAACGAAGACATGCACCTTGAAAAATAGGAGGAGGGGTCAGTGTCACCTTATTTCCTCTCTGTGATGCTGGGGGGAGGGGAGAAAATCCCAATGTGACTTTGATCAGAAATGTTGCATTTAAATCATTTTAGGTTCTATGAGACACCATTTCCGCATTCTCAAAATTGCGTTGCTTTTTCATACGATACAGAATAAGTCTGAGAAGAAATATTCATGCTATGATGATGCATACATGTATTTAACAGTTAAAAATCTAAACTAAAACTATTCTTCTTGGAACCATATCTACAACTGCTTTTATAACGAGATTTCACAAATCAAGTTCCTCCAGTATATTGTCTTTTTCCTCAGTCGAGATGAACTTAATCAGTTTCAGCTTCGAGCATGTAACGTGTACTTTTTGAGAGAATGGTTTTTTGGGCGATTGGGGGCTCTTAATATAACTTGATATTTTTAAGAAAAACATTTTGCAATAAAACCTCCCAAAACAAATTTACACGCCTCTGCGGAGGAGAGTGCTAGAAAATAGTCGCAAGGCTTGGAAAGGCTAGCATTTTATCGGATTGCGTGCATGAAATCTATCGCTATTATGAAATACTCGGTAAAGAACAATATGAATTACACAGAAGATGGCTGTGGAGGAGGCTATGGAAGGGCATAATCTCATTATCAAGTAAATCAACTGCAATTCTGACAGCAATCATGAGCAATTCTGCTTCGCACTTCGGGGGCAGAAATGGCTTTACTGGGGGGAGGCAAATTCTTTCCCTGGGGGGGGCAATTGCCCCCCAGATATATAGTTAAAAAAGGCACTGAGTTGTCCACACATCTCAGGATTTTTCTTGGCATCTGGAAAAGTGTAATGGAATATGTACTATATTATCTATTTAAGTTGGTCTACATGTTATTGAACATTATATTATTTTTTCCTTTCAATTTTCAAATATTAAATGTCATTTCAGACATAGAAGTTAGAGTGACTAGGCATCCCTTCTCACCCATTGACTTCTATTTCTATGTACTTCCATAAATTCATATTCGCCATAAATTCAAATTCATATCTATTTGCTGGCCATTTTATGTATGAACTATAAACTTTACTTGTACAACTAGATATTGAGCTTTCTACTGTTAGCCATGAAAAAAGATTAAAATTGTCTATTAAAATCACAACTCAAGATTGTAGTGTGAGCCTTGCAACTTACTCAACATTTGCTGCTACAGAGACACTTATTAGGAACAGTTTTGATCTGTTTTGTGTCCATTACAACCATATATTGGGTCTCTTAGTCCTGTGACAATATATTAAAACCCTAGGATAAGTTGGGACTTGACACCATTTGTCTATCATTTTAAGGCAATTCTGTTACTATACTGTATGTGAAAATTGATGTTGGATCTTTGGATTTTCCTCCGGAGGAAAACAAAAATATAACCTGCCCAAATGGCAAAATAAAACACAAAGAAAAGTGATAAAGGCAGAAAAATACCAGCTGCTGTACAGCGTCGTTATATTTGTAGATCTCGTATGCAATTTTTCTTAAAAAAACGGTATTTATTTAGTACAAAGAAGCACAAAAAGAGTTTAACATCTTACCTGTAAAAAGAAGTGTTTCTTCTTGATAAAGAATTGTGGCATCATAAAGCCATGCAAAAATTCGGCATTTTGTCTTGATGACTTTTATATATAAAACTTTCAGCAGAGTTTCAAGCTTTTTAAAAAACCAGGGGGGGTGAAATTGTCGTCTGAAGTCGAAGATCGCGGTTGGCCAGTGGTAATTACCACGAGGGTTTAGGACCAGTGGCGTCATTCTGGCGTCAGCAAATGTGAAAATCCTCCATGTTTTTGGCTTCACCTTTTGTTTATAGCTCAGTGGTCTTTAGTCAATATATTATAAATAGTTGCTTTCTTCTATAATTATATTGTTCATATGAATTTTATTTCTTCTATAATTATATTGTTCATCAAACCTCATTTCGCCCACACAACCGCGGGTGAACCGCGGTTCTTTCTCTTTTGTTGTACGGATACATTTCCAAAAAGTGGAAGCAACGGCACAAATTTGGCCCAATCGAAAGGAATTAATGCACATGTTAACTGTTCATGGTACAAATAAAATGTAACAGAATTGCACACATTATATTAAAACACAATACCACGACGAAACCGTCCGTGCAAGCAAATGAAAACGAAACATTTTTTTATGAAAACGAAACAAACAAGTCTAAGGCTCTAGGTTTTAGAATTTGGGCTCATTTATACGAGACACTTTTGTCAACATTAAGATAGCTCAGTAGCTACTTTAAAAGTAGACATGAGTATGTATTATTACAAAATGTTTATACACATTCCTTGGACCGGTTGTGTAAAAAATAGTCAAATTGACAATAGTTAAGAATCTTTCTTTGGTGCAAAATCACCACTTCCTGATTTTTGTGGAATTAAATAGCACGATTAGAATAGATCAAGGCTGGACTTTGGTGCAAGTACTGAGAAGGTGGAAAATATATATTAGAGAAGATGCAGCGGTCTAGCCCACGGCCTCCCTGTGATATGTTAGCGATCAGATCGCCTGAAATCAACTATGTGACGTATGCATGTACTGTACACTACAGTATACATACCTATCAATGTATTCATGAATTAGGACTGTACCTCTTATAATGGTATTGGTAACGTTTGTAATATGTCTATATCTTTTATAGAAAGCTGAATTGTTGTTGCGTGTTGGCGAACCCTTACCGAACACTGCATGTACGGTTGTAAAAAAGAGCCACAACAAACATCCATGCACCATAATTAACTTATTGATTTTACTCTCATGGCCAATGCCTATCTCTAGTGTGTTGATCAACCGAAAATTTAAAGAGAAAACTGATAGTTTGGGTTTTCCAACAGAATCTGACGCCTCTAACACGAGAAAACTTGAAAACCCATGTCCTCTATGAATCTATGAAAGAAGTTAGTAATTCAGAGTTAAGATTTTTGTAGCTTACTTGCAACTTCCTTGCCAAAGTTTGTCATTTTTTGCTTATTTTCTTGTCAAAAAGCTAAATATTTGTGTTTAGACCACTACTACACTACCAAAATTCTATAGCTATTTAATTAACTAGTTGGCAGTAACGATAATATCTCGAGTGGCGCGGAAACAGTTACAATTTTTTCTAGCTACATATTTCATTAAGAAACAACTTTTTTATTTCGTTGTCTAACAAACCAAAGTTTGTATTTGTATTAGTATAGCACAAACTAGGTTAACTAGCTGTGTATTAAATAATTAGCCACTTCAATCATTAAAAACTAATATTAAAGTAAAATTTTATAATGTCCCTACTCCCTAAGACGAAGTACCCCTCCAACTTGAAGTTGCTTTGGAATCTCACGGCCGAGAGGTAACATTCTTAAACAAATGTGGCTAAGAATGTGAGCAAGCGGCCTAGCGAGGTCGTTACCTCAGCCAATGTCCTAGTGTCCAGTGCTGTTCATGACGCGTTGTGGATATATATCATAAAGCTGGAGCAATATCTGACTGTAGATTAATATTAATCAAATGATAAAACAGTCCTCTCCTCCTCAGTAATTCTTCTTGAGTACCCTGCTCAAGAACTTCACCATGACATACAATCACTACCTTGTCAGCTTCCTCGACCGTCGACAAATGCCGAGCGAAAATTATGCAAGTCCTTCCTGAACAAAGCCTTTGTAGGTTTTCTTCGACTTCCTAATGGTGGAAATGACAAAGTGTAATATACTTTCAAGTGTCAACATAGAAAGGCATTTGGATTTTTCTCGTCAGCTCGTGACTTCAAGCAAAAAAGAATATGCACGTTCAATGACCGGATGTCACAGGAGTAGTGCGAAGCCCTGTCACGAGATTTCGTAGAGGACATTGTATTTTTATCATTTATAAAATGCTATATTCCGTAATACATCTGCATGCTCACATGATATGATTGGCATATTTCGCGCACCAAAGACATACCGAGTGAACGGCTATGAATGAAATTTACAATCAATGATATTCCCACTTACTTTATCAGGTTGTGAAAACTCGTCAATGATAACAATACGAGGATCTCTGATTAACGCCCGCGTTATAGCTATCTTTTGTCTTGTACTCTCGTCCAAAACGACGTCATCCTCGATCAAAGAATTGTAAGACTAAAAGTCGGGAAATCACACAAATTGTAATATGAGAAACAAGACGATAGTTTATGAAAAGTACGCATTCAATTCCAAATCCATAATTCTATGGTAGTGGATATTACATTAATTTTATATTGATGTGTCGTTGATGAGATATTTCTTGTCATACTTTATATAAAGTTCACCAGTTTTGCGCTGGAGACTACAATCTGCGCTACCCAGCATGCCATGCCAGCTAGAATTGTAAAATGGATTTTAATATTTTTGAAAAGAAAGAGCTATTGCTAAGTAATTTTATCGTTTTTGGTATTCGTTTTCCAGATAGCTAAGTATCATAAAGCGACTCAAAATTTGATGTAATCCGGCGATACCTAATTTTACCTATATTTTGAACAAGACCACGCTGGTTGAATACAGTCTTTAACATAACGTTACCGTTTGGAGCTTGAATCTTTATTTGTCATTATACTTCGAGTTTGAGTTTAATTGTAAAAAATATGCAAAAGGGATTTACTGTAACGCCTACATAATGTCACGTTTTCCAATTTCCACAATGACGCCGTTTTCAACAGAGCCTGACGTGTTCGTATACATTAACATAATGCGTTAATGTGGTGCTTGTATAAAAAAGTTGCGAGAGTTACGTCGAGTTGAAATATCATTAACATTTTATAAAATACTGCATCAAACAATGGATTATTCCAGCTATAGATGAAATTTTGAACAACAAGAACGAAATCCATTACCATAGCTGAAAAGAGCATCTTAAAATGAGCAAAATTGCAAAGTTTGGTTGCGATACAATATTTGCGAACCTCAGGGCTATATTTTCCTCATTTTACAACGATCCGCAACCAAACTTTTGAAATTTTAGCTACTCATTTTAAGGTGCTCTTTCTATATAGCTGTGGTGTTGGATTTCGTTCTTCCTGCCTTAATTGATCAAATTTAGTCTATAGAGCTGGAATCACCTATTGAAGTTAAAATAATCGTGCATATATACCTCGGGGAGATTCTCTATTACTTCATGTAGATGAGTTGTTCTGGCAACATGTTCCAAGTACTGATCAGATAAACATCTTCCACTGTCAGCAATCTTTAAATTATCTGCGACGGAATGATGACTGATTACGCTGGTTTCTGATATCAAAGCTATCTGGGATCTTAACCACTTCAAATCCATGTCACGTATATCCACGTCATCTAAAGTCTGGAGCAAAACCATTATTGAAATAAGCTTCGCTGAGATGAGGATAAAAACAAATGAGAGTGGAGACTGGAGAGTATACACATGCAGTTGGCATTTCAACAGAATGTGTTACGAGGAATTAGTCCTTCACTACCCAACGTTTAAACATTTATTTTCTCAAATCATGTCTGAACTAAAGTCGGAACGCAGCTCCTTAGTACTCACGGGACTGCGTCATCGGCCATGCTTCTATAGAACGTCCCTGGTCATAACGAATAATTGTGGTAAATGAACTTGGAGGCTTACTGTAAGCAATTGCATTGTTCGTTTATCATACAACAAATTAAGTTGATTTCCCGTTGTCCAAAAATTTCAAACCATTTCAAACTCTCTACGGCAGTTGAACGTATGCCGCCAAATCTCTTTGACTGATCTTACCATGAAGTTGACTTATGCGTCTGTTTAATTAAACATTTTTATGTGTGCTTAGTGCCCTCTGAAAATGCCGCGAATATTTAGAGTAGGAATGCAATAATTACTGACAAACCTGTACTTCCAGTCAGCTAGCCCCTTACCGTTATATATTATAACATTAACCTAAATATATTTGAAATTTCTTCTAATCGATCAATTGCAACGAACGTGTATTGTTGTAGTGTATCATATTTTATATGTGGCAAAGTCTAATGAATAAATGTTCATTACTCTATCAATTTGGTTATACTTACAACAAGACCTGTACTGGGATCATAAAATCTTTCAACCAGGGCAATGACAGCATTACTGTTGAAATCTGTAGTACCAACAATAGCCAATGTTTCCGATGATTTCACGGAAATATTCAATCCACTCAAAAGAACATTTTTCTTTTCAGGATGATGTATTTCCACATTGTGAAATTCCACTTCTCCCTTCACGTCATCCTTGAAAACGCACTAACCATATTAATACAGATTGTATTTACTTAAAAGTATGAAAAACTTGGTTTTATTGGATTCGTCTTACACATGGTATCCAGAAATAATTGTGATCTCGGCCAATGTTATTCGTCTCAGCCTTCGACAGCGGAGGATAACATTGACCTCGGTATGATTATTTCTGGATATACTGCTCAACCTCATCCAATAATGTTTTACGTTCAAGATGTGACGTACCAGTTTAACACGTTTTTCATCCATATTGTCGTCGGTCTTGACGTCATCCAGCCGTTCTTTTTCAGGAGATTCGTTCTTTGTCTTAGATTTTTCTGCAGGAGCATTGGATGATCCTGCTCCTCCAAACAACACGGTCATAAGTACTCTATATATGAGCAATGAGGTATTTTATGCTATCAAGTGTAGTGAAATACCAATATACACTATTTGAAATGATTAACAGAAAATGGTTTTTGCCTGATACGCACGTAAAAATTTCACATCTTGTCAACAAGATATTATGTGTTCGCAACAGGTTTGTCGCAAACTTGTCCACAAGTTGTAAGGATGTTGTTAGTTTCTCAAATTGCTACAAGATTGTCACTGACAACTTCTTGACAAGTTGTTGAATTGCAAGACAATAATACGTTGTTGAAACAACTTGTAAGAAGTCGGTCGGTCTTAACAACCTTGTTACAAGCCGTTCACAACTTGTCAACAAGCTGGGGACAACACAGTGCGAACACATCTTCATAACAAGATGTTGGAGCTGAAGTACATTTGTTACAAGCTGTGTGCTTTTCCGTGTGTAGGAACAAGAGCTATCCAGGTGAGAAGTTATGTTTTCTGGCTAAATTTAAACCTGAATGAGGTGGATAAAATCAAAGTCGTCCAAAGACCTAATTAATTCTAAAAATTAAAAGATGTTTCAGTCTATACACTGGTGCGTGAAAGCTGCATAGTGCTTTCTCTATTTTCAAAAATACATAGAATGTTCTTTTCTTGGAAATAATCGTAAAAATTATTTCAAAGAGTTCTGTTGCTCTTCATAAAATTATGTCAAATTCTGCTTCACAAAAATGGACGAAATGAGATGCTGCACGCCATCAGCGACATGCAATCGTCATGTGTCCATCGTACAATTGCAATTATTTTTTCGTATTTCCGGTTCCTTTATTATTTTATTTTGATTTAAATTTTTATTTTATCACTGAAGTCACAAATGTATATTTGACAAAGCCATTGCGTTGATATAATAAATTTATCATTGCTGCTATTGCCAATGTGAAATAATGAATTCTTAAATAAATACAAGATAAACATTACAATACAATATTTGCGTATACCAATGCTATGTAATAAAAATATTGAGCGTACGTCATAACACTTTCCACTGTCATTTCGCCAACACGACCCAAGTACCCGCCGTATCTTAAAGCACCAGCATATACAAGAACGGTCACACATTCAGCAACGGCGAAAGCCAGGCCTGTCGCAATCAACATCTTCACAGCGTATCTGAAGCAAACATTTGCATTACACATGCAGGTGTATAAAAAGATAATCCAAGTTTGGGATGTACTTTTTTTTGTATCAATGAAGATAATTTAGCTGCATGTTATACACGATACCTTTCCTGTAATTGCTAATAAAAATGACCAATTAGGAAATTGTTGGTCGAAACACATTCTTCCACCATTGTATGTGGAAACATTAGGCATTGGAAGATCTGGAAGAGCAAACGTCCAGTTTGAAAAATGTTTTAGCCTAGAAATTTCGATGTTAAATCGCGAAGTTAAGTCAAAAATTTCCCAAAATTCGACTAATTAACAGGAAAAAAGTCCATCTTTATTCACCTCCACACCACTATATACATAGTTTCAAACAAACTGTTGATTAAAGCCACCACCAATATTGCCTTTATACTGCCTTTAATTTTGGAATAATTTCAATACTCAGACTTTGCATGTGATTCCAACTTGGGTTGAAAACACGATTTCGACCGGCAATTTTAAATCTGATCAAGCAAGCTTGGATATTTTTAATCACAATGCTGTAAAAAAGTTTAATTTGACAGCTAAAGGCCAAGCTCTAACTAACGCCCTGACAACACCCCTGCTTGGTAACGTAAATATTTTGTATCGCAGCTGAACGACTCATGGGCGTCAATCCTGGGGGGGTGTGTGGATTGAGGGGGGAGGGGGGGGACGGGTCACCACAGTTTTTGGAGTGGGCGGGGGACGAATATCTTATTATCCCCCCCCCCCCACTTTTTGACATGTTTAATTAAATTTTGTTTCTTGGTTATCTAAAAACCTAATGCATGGTATGCAATTCATCAAAAATTGTGATTGAAGGAAGACATTTAATAAGAAGAAGTACAACGTATGATCTTTCTGTAGTCGCTGGGTGCAAATACTGACATCGCATATGTTATGTAAAATTGTAAATACTTAAAAATAATTGCGTTTTAACTGAGTTTCCCTTACATAGATGATTATCATCAAAATAAGGCAAATGGTTAATTTAATAGATTATTAGCATTAAAATAAGGGTGAGGACATGTTAGGCTTCGTCGAGAGTAACGTCTGTTCACAGGCTAGGCTCACATGTTGGTTTTTAGCGGATTTCTCACATGGTTAAACATGGATTTAAGATCATGCACATTGTAGTGTAACTTTATATAAGTGCCTCCAAAACGCTGCGAATGCCGTTTCAGTGTACCAAAATTTAGAAAAACATTTCGGGTAGCATACCTCCGGACCTTCATAGTTTGGAGTCCCATATAATAATATTAGTGGCCGGTATAACGGTGAGTAACGTAAACATCTTAAACATACCTATAAGGTTTTAGACAATCTTCTTTGCACCTTGACGCCTGATCGTTCGCAGGAATATTAATCTTGCCAGAAGCAGATGATGTTACACCACGAAGTTTTTTCCAAACTTTTGAAATTATCTGAAGAAATAAATAATGATTCCAAATGATTTCCTTGATTTGAAAAAAACTGTTATTAAGCTTGTAAGAGCCGGTGAAGTAGCGAGAATGAGCTTAGTCGATCGTAGGGTCTAGGGATTTACTCAGGATGAGCAACTTCCCTGCGTTTCAAAACTCATTTGTGACTAGAGTTTGGTTGATTCTCTCCTGTGCTTCGAAGAATTCATCTCCGGGATTTCCAATTTTCTTCGCTTACCAAAAAATCCTGAGTCCTTAACTGTCAAGCAAGTAATTATGCATGAGGTTCTTGTGACTGATTGAACAACCACCCTTGTGTAATCAATCTTAACTCTTACTCTCATTCTCATTACTATAGCTCACCCCATTACTGTCGTCCTCCTCAGTCTCTTCTGTATCGTCATTCTGCACTGACTTCGCGTATGATATAATTGGGAGACCAGCCAAAACAACTAACGTCATTTTCCAACCATTAGAGAACGAGATAAACATCGTCATGAAGGTTGATATATTACTACTTACGTTCTCTGTGAGACTAGATAAAGAAAACTGAACAAAAATATGAATCAATTGTTTTAAGTATAAAGCCGGTTTTCCACTTCAAGCGTACCGTATCGAAACGTATCAAAAAGGGAAGGTTGATTGGTTGGTACTTCCGTAGTACGCCACAAAGTTGACTTGCGACAAACTTTTTATTTTGATACGCGAATACACCCGGAAGTACGTGTATTTATAAACCTCTTTGCAATCTGCGCATGCTCACCAGTACGTTTCGGTACGATACGGGCGAAGTGGAAAACCGGCTTAAAACGTAAGTCAGTAACGAGTGAGCATGAATGGCTCTGCTCGATCAGTTCATGAAAATAAAAACTATGTACAGTCAAAAGTTCCTCAGAAGTTCCCGGTATTTATTAAAATATAAGCAGCCAGATTAGGAAAAAAACTTAGTTGAGAATCGTGTTCATAATAATTTTTGGACCAAACTTTGCTTTCTGAATTACATTCCACCTCTTTCACACCAATATCACCAAAATTGCAGAAAACCATCTTGTAAATTCACAAATACATTTGGCTCAATACTTTTATGACTATATGTATTGACATTAAACATACTAAATATTACGCTTAGGGCTTTAACAATAAGAAAATTTCTTGAGGGAGCATTTTCTCGAATTTTCAAAGGAGCTTTATAAGGAGGTGCTGAAAGCGATATATATTTAGATTTATTTATAACATGCATCTCCAGCATGGGTATTATATGAAATAAGTAATGCATGCATTAAAAATTACCGAACTCTTCTGACTACTCGTTGCATCTTTATCCATCTTTGTCGTCATGTTTTCCGCATCAGTATTGCTTGGCTCGTCAAGAAGATTTAAGTCCTGAAAAAATGTTTAAAACTATAAAGTAAAAATACTTGTATTAAGGGAGATAATTTATTTCAGTCAATCAAAAGGAAGTAAGTATTGAAGTCTTCGTAAAGGGAGCCAGATTTAAGTCCGTATGTAAAACCGTACGCCTATTGACAACATTGTAACAGGGTGTTGATTTTGTTATCGTATAAACATGAAAAAAAACGTCGAAAAAAACGCACAAATTTAGGAAATTGGAGCAAATCTAATTTCTAATCTTAATAAATAATAAATTATCCATGCAAATAGGAGTAGAATACATTACTGAAAGTCCCCTCGCCCAATATTAAACAACGTATGAACTAGGATGATAGGGTGAGAGAGCCATCGGGGATGTCCTATAATTGGGCATGTTGGATGGGGGACATTTCAGGAAAGCAAATTAATTTCGCCTTTCATCTAAGCCGACACATCTGGGATCTCACAAATTTGTACCTGTTTAATAGGGGTTATAATTTAAAAAAAAGCTGCGGATTGAGAGAGATACAACCATTGAACTATAAATAAACTGGAAGGCTAACTGCTATGATGAAGGCCTATGATTTGATGAAGCCAAAATAGTTTTTCTGAGTTATGAGCAGGAAATACTTG